TCCCATTAGTGATAGTGAATAAATAAGTAGGCCTGTCTCATCTTTAATAATATTACTTTAAATAATATTAACTAGACTTGCATGCCAATTTGTTCATTGTGTTCATTGAAGAATATATATATATTCCCATCAAGATTTTAAGACTCCTTTTATTGAGAAAAAACACACCATTTAATGAAGCAAAGCAAAATAATTGAAGCATGCTACTCTTCTTCTACAGAAAATAAACTAAGAAATACAATTGAGGGGGGAGGATTAAAGCTCTGCTTAAATGACGTGGAACAAACACTTTCTAAGGGACACAGGTGCCATCTGCAGTTTAATTTGAGAACTGGTTCTAAATGGTAAAATATTCTACCTCATCTTTACTTAAGATCTCACATTGCCCAGGTTCCTCCCCCTAAATGTCTAGGTATGCCTCGCTCGGTCAGAGGATCAGATTCCCCTCCTCACCTCACTTTTTCTACCTAGGAAGTCTTTATCTAAGAGATCAAAAATATATAAATCCTCAATACACGAGGAACTTCTAGATACTGGAAAATTATTTTTCATAAAACTGATCAGCACTCAGAATACAAATAATATAATAAAGTTTACTGTTTTGATAAGGAGGTTTTCACCAGTGACAATGGTGGAAAGGATCCCTTGAGTTCTCCTGGCTGAATCCTGTGCTCTAGTCAAGAGAATTTTCCCACGAGCTGGGAACAGAAAAAATTACATTCACATGTTCTCAACTCTGGCCCATCCACATGCTGAGATTCCAGGAGGAAGTTTTAAAAAGTTAGACAGATTTATTGCAACAGTATATATCCTTGGGAAACATTCTCTGGTGATAGAAAAAAGGCTTTGTGATTGCCTCGTCTGGACTGCATGCTGATGCTGACTCCTGGACACATAACACCCATGGGACTGTTTATTAAAGAGAAGAGTGAGGAGACAAAGTGGAATCAGAGGTCTCTTTTCCCCCTTATTTTCTGGCCTGACTATGGTTTATATGTTGAAGTCCCAGTGAATTGGAGAATTTACTTACTACAGGGATTGTTAATTTATTCCCAGGGAGTCAAATTTAATGTGTGTGTGAGTGTCTGAGTGGGAGTGTAGAGATACACATGTGTATCATTAAAACTGGCACCTCGGCGAGTTTACATGTAGGAAGGAACAGCTTCATATGGTTCTACTACATTATGTCAGGGAAGTTAACACTGTGAGTGGGTGTGAGAGAAGTCTATAACTACTAAAAAGTTAAATCCTTCAAGAAATAAAACACAGAGGTTAGAACTTGACTGCGACTGACAGTTCCAAATGAAAATTTTTTTTAAAGATTTTGTTTATTTGACAAAGAGAGAGACACAGCGAGAGAGGGAACACAAGCAGGCAGAGGGAGAGGGAGAAGCAGGCTTCCTGCTGAGCAGGGAGCCCAACGCGGGACTCAATCCCAGGACCCCGGGATCATGACCTGAGCCAAAGGCAGACACTTAACGACTGAGCCCACAGGCAGCCCTGAAATTAATTTTTAATATGGGTACAGGCCTAAAAATTAATTCAATTTTTTCTCCTTCCCACTAATGTCGATTACCTATATTTGGAATTTATATTTGATGGCAGAATAACATATATTTATTATATACACAGGAATATTATTACAACCTATTGTATTATGATTGGATTATCACAATCAATTCATATGGTGAGGTATAGACAAAGCATCTGAAAAAGGGAATTAGTGGTGGGAATAAATTTCAGAGGGACTAATGAGAAATTTCTGGCTAACAGATAAAGAATGGCATATAAAGGGCTTACACTACCTGCGAAAGGTTTGTGGGCATGTTATCATTATTCCAATCCATTTAAACCAGAAAAATTGAAACGATTATATAACATATAATTATATTCATACTTATTTTTCCCATTTTTTTTCTGCCCACTTAAGAGTCTTATAAGTAAAGAGATGGAAAAATAATGATTTTCAGATTTGGGTACCATATTTTAAAGTGTATCAAATATTCCACAATGCTAATAACTGTCTAAGGTGAAGAAATAACAAAAAAATCATACTGAGTACTCACACTAGTGGTCACTTTCCCGGAGATTATTCATGTTTGATCCTCACAAGAATTCAGTGAAAAAGGCAGAAGTGATGCTATATGACTTTGAGTCAAGGTCATTAAAACGCCATATATTTCTCTTTGTACCCTTAAGATGTTTGCTTTCAACCAAGCCACTAAGCTGTGAGGAGTCAAAGTGTCCACAAGGATGGGACACCTGCAGGTATTTGGACTAGGACCCCAAGGGAGAACCAAGCAACTGCCAGATATGCGACTAAGTGAGGTGGCCTCAGATGATTGTGGCCTCCAGCCCTCAAGTCATCTCCAGCCTTGAGCCATCCCAGCTGAAGTCACATGTAGTGAGAGATGAGTTGTCCAAACAAAGCCATGCTCAAGCTTCATGAACAGAATGAATGGTGATTGTTGTTTCAACACTAACCACGGTGTGGGAAGTTTTGTCATAAAACAGTCGATAACTGGAATATAGGTACCACTATCCATATTTTTACAAAGGACACAACAGCACAGTCTTGGCTAACCCAGTATCATGTAGCTGAATATGTCAGAACCAAGGAGCATATCCAGGTCATTTAATCTCAAGTCTAGTGCTCTTTGCTCTATACCACAAATGATCAATGAATAAAGCATGTTTTTCTGCAATCAATAACTCACAAATTGTGAATTGCCCCTTATAAATATTGACACATTTTTTCATTTTTATTGACTTGCTGAAGTCTACTAACGCTGTAAAAATTAGAAAATCCACTGGCTATTCTAGCCATATGCATTAGTGATTATAATTAAGGTGAATCTGCCAGAGATGATGAGAACAAGGCTATAATAAAAGAATGATAGAAACTAAAAACTAACAATCTATAAATTACTCTACAAAATTTAAAAATTGACTTGTTTTGTCATTGTTTCTGGAGATTTCCTCTGATCCTTTCTTATCTTTGTCCCTTTTCATCTCTCCTTAACACTCAAGAGTCCCCTTTAATATTTCTTGCAGGGCTGGTTTAGTGGTCATGAGCTTCTTTAGTTTTTGTCTGGGAAACTCTTTATCTTTCCTTACATTCTGGTGATAGCTTTGCTGGATAGAGTATCTTGGCTGCAGATTCTTCCCATTCAGCACTTTGAATATATCATGCCACTCCCTGCTGGCTTGCCAAGTTTGTTGAGAAGTCTCCAGCTAGCCTTATGGGTTTTCCCTTGTAAGTTAAGGACTTCTTTTGTCTTGCTGCTTTTAATATTTTTTCATCATTATATTTTGCAAATGTAATTACAATATGTCTTGGTGTTGGCCTGCTTTTGTTGATTTTCATGGGAGCTCTCTGTGCCTCCTGGATCTGGATGACTGTTTCCTTCCCCAGATTAGGGAAGTTTTCCACTATTATTTCTTGAAATAAATTTTCTGTTCCATTTTCTTTCTCTTCTTCTTTTGGGACTCCAATAATATGAATATTACTACATTTGATAGAGTCACTGATTCCCTAAGTCTATTCTCATGTTGTATAATTCTTCTTTCTCTCTCTTGTTCAGCCTCATTATTTTCCATTATTTTGTCTTCTAGGTCACTAAATCATTCCCCTGCTTCTGCCAGCCTGTTGTTCATTGCATCATGCCTGTTTCCAATCTCGTTTATTGCATTCTTCATCTCTGATTCTTAATTCTTTTATCTCTGTTGTAAGGGTCCAAACGGCAATAAATACATATCTATCAATAACAACTTTCAATGTAAATGGAATAAATGCTCCAATCAAAAGAGACAGGGTGTCAGAATAGATTAAAAAAACAAACCCATCTATATGCTGCCTATAAGAGACTCATTTTAGACCTAAAGACACATGCAGATTGAAAGTGACGGGATAGAGAAATATTTATCATGCAAATGGATGTCAAAAGAAAGTCAGAGTAGCAATACTTATATTGGGCAAACTAGAATTTTTCTGTTCTTGTATTGTTTTTGTCCTGCATTGGTATCAGGGTAGTAATGGCCTCATGGAATGATTTTGAATATATTTCCTCTACTCCTAGGGGAATTATTTGTAAGATTTGTGAGATTTTGATAAAATTGTCATTAATTTCTTTTTTTTTTTTTAATTTTTGGTAGAATTCACCAATGAAACCATGTGGTCTTTGGCTTTTCTGTGTTGGGAGATTTTTGATTCCTAATTCAACTTTCATTCTTGTTATTGGTCTAAGAAGATTTCCTACTTCATGGATTCAAGATTCATGATTCAATATTGGTAACTTGTGCATTTTTAGGAATTATCTGGGTTATTTTTCTAAGTTTGCTTATGGTAACATTTTATCACATTCTATATTTCTGTGGTTATCTGTTGTATTATTTTCTTCTCCATTTCTTTTTGGTTTTTGAATCTTCTCTCTTTTTTCTTAGTTAAAGCATTGCCAATTTTGTTTATTTTATTTTTTTAAAAAAAATTGGTCACTACTTTTCAATGTTATGTTATTATTTATTCTGGTCTCTATTTTATTTAATTCTGATTTTTCTTTGTTAGTTTCTTCCTCTACTAAATTTCAGCTAAGTTCCTTCCTTTTTCTAGTTCCTTGTGGTGTAACATTGTTTATTTGAACTTTTTTTCTTAAAACAGAATTTATAGCATAAATTTCATTCTAACATCTGCTTTTGCTGCATCCCACAGATTTTAGAATATTGTGTTTTCTTTTTCTTATGTGTTGAGACATATTTTGATTTGCTGTTGGATTTCCTATTTGGCCCACTGCCTTTGCAGTAGTGTGTGATTTAATATTTACATATTAAATATTTGATATTTTAAAAAATTCAAAAAATGAATATAAATCAAACTCATTTTTTTAAATATTAGTACTTAATGATTAATCATGGGTCAATTATCAAATGGCCTGTTTGTTAGACTTAACTTAAATAAGTTTGAAAATCAGACTTGGTTAAAGGAGACAATGATTAACACTTACTCTCTTTCTTTCCATAAAATTTTTTGGAACTCATCCAGATGAACCTGCAAAGCTGTAATTTCAGGCACTTCACTCTCCAAAGGCAGGGTCATTGCCTGCAGTCTTAATGCAGATTTCAGTGTACAGCTGTCAGAACCACTATTCTTGAATGAATCAGGAGAGTTAAGATTGAGTTTCATCTCCTCATTTAATCTTAACTGGTCAATAATCAAAACTTCTTCCTGAAAAGAAAAAAAAAAATAAAACAACTATTGTTAATTTTTAAATCCAGTGCAGAAAAATCATGAAGAAAACATATTTTTGGAAGGAAATAAATGTTATGATTCAGCATCAAATTCCTATTTTCATTTCTTTATCAGTCTGTAAGAGGTATATGACTGAACTTTAACTTGCATTCCTCAAGATTTTTTTTTTCTTCTATGTCCTACATTATAGTGAAATACATTTCAGTCTTTGAAAATTTTTAATTTACAATGGAATCTAGGTTATATCGACGATAAATCCCATACATCATAGAAAGACTTAAAATTTTTTGGGCGCCTGGGTGGCTCAGTTGGTTAAGCGACTGCCTTCGGCTCAGGTCATGATCCCAGGGTCCTGGGATCGAGTCCCACATCGGGCTCCTGGCTCAGCGGGAAGCCTGCTTCTCCCTCTCCCACTCCCCCTGCTTGTGTTCCTGCTCTTGCTGTCTCTGTCTCTGTCAAATAAATAAATAAAAAAAAAAATCTTTAAAAAAAAAAAAAAAAGAAAGACTTAAAATTTTAGATGGAATTATAGAGGAGCAAGATATGCTATAAACTTTTAGAGGTGGAATTAAATAGAAAGGAGTAACAATAATAACTGATATTATTTAAAGAGATAAAATGAATTCCCAAAGTTTCTGAAAGTATGTTCCATGGGTTGTTAACAGTATTTACCAGGTTAAAAAAAATGGATAAATAATATTATGAACTGCTATATAAAATAAAGTTTTTAAAAAGTTTATTTTGTGCAGAATTCTCAAAAACTTCAAGATTCCAATAATACCAAGAAATTTCAAGAGTGGATAATGTGAAGCATTCCATAAAGGTATTTGCTGATGGTACCCATTTTATAGGAATTAATTGTGAGGCCAAAGTCCCAAACCTTGGGAAATGTTTAAACTACTATAAGAATAATTTATTATTATTGTCATAATTAGGGTAAATGGAGAGAAATCTCTCTAAATAATTTATTTTCACATAAAAAATGCTGAGTTACTTTTTCTTAAAACTATTACTAAGATCAATAATATGGGCTACTGAATTGTGTCTTACCCTGCCCCCAGTACCTTAGAATGACACTGTGTTTGGTGTAAGGTCTTTAAAGAGGTCATCAAGTTAAAATGAGGTCATGATGGTGGGCCTAGAGATGGTTTCTCTACAAGGAAATTTGGAGATAAACACAGAGAAAAGATGACGTGAAGGCAGGGTGAAGATGACCATTTCTAGGCCAAGGAGAGGTCTCCAAAGAAACCAAACCTGCCAATACCTTGATCTCACCCTTCTGGCCTCTAGAACTATGAGAAAATAAGTTTCTGTTGCTGAAGCCATCCACTCTGTGGTACCTAGTTATGGCAGCCCAAGCAAACATATGTAGTCACCACTGGGTTTGTCATTTTCCCCTTCCTCCCCAATGCTGTATATACGGCATTCAAATATGATCAGAATCTCTGGATTCTTCTGCCGAGTTCTTTTCTTACCTTACTATCTGTGTTGTCCTTTGTAGAAAATTCTCTTCTCACCAGACATTCTCTGATAGACTTACATGTTTGTGAACCAATTTGAAACTGGTCTCCTGGTGCAGAGGGCACTTCTATGAAACTAGGATGCTTCAGGTCCTGGGTGGTTTCTAACACCTTTTGATGTGGCAAACTTTGTTTCTTTTTCAATGCACTCAATTCTTTCATTGTCATCTCTAATTTTATTCTGAGCTGTCTTCCCTCCTCCCTGGCGCTGTTCCTTTCGGCCCGAACTTTGCTCCACTTTTCTCTCCAATTGGCAGTGCAGTCTGACCACCACCGCATGGTCTTCTCCATCTGGGCAGCTCTGGCCTTGACTTCCTCAAGTTCCCGCAGGCGAAGCTCTTCACAAATATTCCACTCATTGGTGTTGCATGAGTGCACACAGACGTTGTGAGTGGCATGTAATTGCCACCCCTGAAGTGGCAAACAGGAATGACAAGTGTCCCTGGGGGGGGAAGCAGGTGCTACCATGTCACAAGGTGGTTTTATTGATGACTGCGGCATCTGGAAGATTTGTGTTTCCTCAATTAACTGATGGATGGAATCTAAATTCATATTTATCTTTTCAGGTCTAAGAAAAGACAGAGAACATAATTAACATTTGAGTTTTCCTTGCAATTATAACAGCAAGACCTACATTTGAAAAACAAGGTTAATGAAAACAATGTGTCTTTAAATATTGCATATTTTCCTTTCCACTGTAACTAAAAGTATGGAAGAACTTATGTATTTGTAATTATCCTCAAAAAAACAGAAATTGATATTACATTTTGCCAAATGAATACAAATAAAAATATAAAGATGCAACTGGGAATAGCATATGACATGTAACAAATCCAATTCTTTTCAGGTAATATTTACTATAATACATATTGTCCATTAACTACTCAGTGATCCTCTTTTCCCTGCTAACTCAAGCACAACCTGTTTAAGTGGAAGGCAGAATCTACTGATCTCTGGGAGCATAAGCCCCTATTCTAATCCCAGGGGCTAAATCCTAATTGGTCTAACTCTTCCACGATGGCCTCCACTTCACTGACCATTCACTAGTCTCAAGTCAGCAGAGTAACTGGTTCTGGCTGAGATTTCAGGGGAAATCTGCTGGGAAAGTTTCCAAACTGAAAAACATGAAAAAAACCACAAGATGAGAACGTCTTTTCTTCTGCTTTCTTCCTGCCTAAACCAAGACATGATTCTGGAAGAAGGCAAGTGTAACAGCCACCGTATATTTAAAATGGTGGAACAGAAAGAGGAAAAGAGCCTGATTTAATGACTGAGTTGTGGCATGAAATCTAGAATGCATACCTCTGGTTTTCTTGCCATGTGAGAATGATTACCTAACTTTATTTAAGGTGTGGTTGTTGAGTTTTCTGTCACTTGCAGTCAAAATGACATCAGACTGATACATGAAGTATTTTCATCCCATGGTTAATATTATGATAAATTTAGGAAAATTTTTATGAATAAGACATGGTGTTTGTCTTAAAAATTTTGTAGTTCAGTGGATGAGACAAGCACATAAAAATTAAAAATACATATTCACACTGTAAAATACATTTATTTATTCCATCAATCTTTTTTAGTACATATTATGTGTCAAGTCAGTGCTAAGTTGCTAAGGTATGTAGGAGGAACTGTAAGGAGCACTGCTCAAGAAGTGATGAACTGTCTCCTAGAAACGAAAAGGCTTCCTGGCATAGATAACTCTGAGGAGTCTTAGCAATTTCAAAGCTTTGTAAAGGAATTACAAGCCACTTTCCATATAAATAACAAAGACTAATTGGTAAAAGCAGACCTACTTATCAGTATGTATACCCATTACTTTATTCAACATAGCTATATCGATGACAGCAAGTAGACCCTTTTCTTTAAAATAAACACTTAAAACATGCAGGTTAATCTGCACATTAATAAAGCTCTGTGATTTTATAAGATTACCCATTTTTATTATCAAATAAGATTTATTGGTATAAATAGCACTTAACGTACATGACATTAATTCCTCTCATTTTTTATTTGCTTTTATACAGTTACAGATCATAAATTGTCTCCTTACAAACCATCCATTTAATTAACTGAAGGGGTTTCATTATACTAACAACTTAAAAAATGAGTGTTTTTCTCTTTTTAAGATTTATTTATTTATTTATTTTAGAGAGAAGGAGAACACAAATAGGGGGAGGGGCAGAAGAAGAGAGAGAGAGAATTCTCAAGCAGACTGCCCTCTGGGCACAGAGCTTGGTACGGGGCTTGATCCCAGGACCCTGAGATCATGACCTGAGTCAAAATCAAAGAGTCGGCTGCTTAACCAACTGAGCCACCCAGGCGCCCCCAGAATAATTCTTTATATGCTAACTTACAAAGTAAGTCTTTACTGAAAAAAAAAAAAATTAAATGTATATCACTTTCGAGTTGTAAGAAAAAACACATTTTAACAAGTGTTCTGTAGAGGTGCCAAACCAATTCACTCCTTTTTATAACACTTATAATAATGTAGATTCATGGTTGTAATTATTTTTGTTAGCATTGGTACATGTCCAAGCGCATTTGAATTAGTGCTGATTTGGAGCAATTGTTCCCTACATTTACTGCAATTCAGAGGGCAATGATAACATAGCTGGCCAAATTTCTAGGACTATTAGTAAACCAAGACAAATATTATAAAGTAAATAAGGAACTCTTAGAAGCACACCATGTATTTTATGTATATGTTCACATATAATTATACCTATATATGTGTGTGTATATATATATGTATATATTCATTATTCACTATTTAATGATATTTCTGATATTTCCTTTGGCTGGAATTCCAAAATAAAAACAGAAAACTTATTTTATCATATTAAATTTAAATTTATCCTTGCCATTTTCAAAATAAATCAGTATCATAAAATCATAATGTCTTTAAAAATGTTTCATTAACTTTTATTTCACTATTGTTTTGAAGACTCTATAATTGGATTCTGGTATGTGGAGACCTTGCCTACCAATTAACTATGGATTTTTTCACATCTGACTAAACAAAATTGAGTTGGGTTTAATCATTCAGTCCTTGAACTTGAATAGTTTTTCCTGTTCTAAAGTGTTTCCCAAGCAAGTGTAAATGGGTTCCTCATGTCTTATTTCAATGACTGTGAAAGTATTTGTCCCTGGTTATAGCACAAAGCCTTTGATCCATGAGAAAATATTTTAATGCTATTGACTCTTTGGTTTCTTACTCTGAATTCTGCATTGTCCTTACCACAAAAAGGAGGGAGGGGGCACAAGGAAACTCTTGAAGGTGGTGGATATATTTATTACTTTGATTGTGGTGATGGGCTCACAGGTGCATGTCTACGCTCTAACTCATCAAATTATATACATTAAATATGTGCAATACTTTGTATCTACTACACTTCAATAAAGCATTAAAATGTTCATACAATCAGGCTACCCTGATGACTGCAAGTATTTTTAATGTCATACATAACCAAATAAATGAAATATGGTGGGTCTACTCTATAAATACTACTACTAAACATTATTTTTCATGAAAGAGAAGTTTAATGTATAAGACATTGAGTTCCAGATTATATTGATTCAAGCTCTGATTCTGTCACTTCCCACATAGATGGATCTTGGACAAATTACATAAATTGCCTTTGACTCATTATCCTTATCTGTAAGGGAAGACAGAAATATCATTGTACTTCAGTTAGTTCTTGTGACCATTAAATGGAAAAATGCCATAGACTGGCTGGCCCAGGCTGTCTCTTAGGCAAGGTGACAGTTTTCTTCAGTGATATATAAGTCACTAATATATCACTTTGGACTACTGTATCATTTTTCTTCAGTTTCTTTTCTCTCTTTTAAAAGAGAGATGGTATACTTAAAAAAAAACAAGGATAGCAACAGATAAATGAGATTTACCAAAAAGCTCTTCATTTCATGTAATAAAGGTATAATCAATTTCTATATCATATTCATATTATTCAGTGAAATAGTCAGTGCTACTATTATTATCTCCATCCTAGAAGAAACCAAGCTTAGGGATCTAACATAACCAGCCCAAGTCATACACTTAGAAGGGGCCGACCCAGTTTGGGAAATAAGGAAATCTGAATCCAGAGCCACTGCCTCCCCGTATCAAAAGCCTACAACTTCAAAATACCTATACACACAATAGCAAAATCATCTTTTAGGTTATTTCAGAAATATATTTGGCAGATTTCCATTTGGGCTATGTTTATGCTCCAATATCTCCCACTAAATCACACCACAATTAGTTAAGTGATCCTGATATTGTGCTTTGAGTGAATTTCATCTCATCATAGCCTAAACGAACTGCAAATTTGGGGCTTGTAAATCCCCACAGCCTCCTCTCTATCATCCTGCTTCCATGCCCCTTGCTTCGGTCACCCTGATGTGCCCATTCCCTGCACAAAACTCCCCTCAACTTTCTCCTTTGAGCGATCAGATTGCTAAGCAAGAGACTTTCCCCTCTCTCCTCATGCTCACCTCCCCTTGGTTTCTCATCCTTCAGGTTATCAGTTAGTGGGACCTATGCTTGACTCTTTCCATCCCTTACAGGCCTGACATCTGAGCAGAAAGTTTACGTTGGGCTTCTTCCGTGATACTGAATAAAACAGACATGGACTCTGCCATCCGGGGACCTTGTTAATAACCAAAAGCAATAAATCAAACTAAGACTCACAAAGTTTAACTCTCTTCGAAAGAAATAAACAGTATTGTGATTCAACACATACCTATATACGTAAAGAAGTCTCTCTGAAGTGACAGATGTCTGATGTATTATCTGAAGAATGAGGTGGACCAGAAATAAAAGCATTTTTGGCAGAAGTTATACTACCAGGGCAGAATCAAATAGGGTCCAAAGGGATTTTTGTTTTTATTGTTTATACTTATTGCTTTCCATTAACCTATAGGAAATGAATTCTAAATGAAACCCTTCTTGGATTTTTTTTTTCCCTAAGAAGCAAAGGATCGCTAATGCACACACAATAATGTTAATAAAAGCCATAAGCAAAGAGTAAATAGATTAATACAGATTTAAAACATAGTGCTAAGGAACAGTTGTTACTTTAGATATGATGCCATACACTCTGATCAAACGTGAAAAAGAAAAATCAGTTTTTAATATTCAGAAAAGTAAAACATCATACTGTATTTTAAAGTGTGGCCCATCAAACATGCACATGTGATTAGTATAATAAAAATGTGTATACTGTATGGGTCTAAAGCAGAAAAAAAATATATTCTTAGGAAAGTTTTGCAAGAGAACACTAAATAGGAAATATAAGACTCCAGTTGTAACAGGAAGGTAAGTGAACAATTACAGCAAACGGCAAGATCACACCACTGCAGGAAAGCTCAGGTTCTGCCCATGAGTAAGTATTATATTTAAAAAAAAAATCCATACACTATGGCAAATTACACAAGCAGTTATAGTCTATATTTGCCCTGAATGTGAGATTTTGGAACCATATTGAGCCAGGAAATACTTGCACAAAAAGGCAAGTAAATAATATAAAATAAATTTGTATGTTATTTACAGTTTGGATACTGTTT